AATCCTCTCACCGCCCCCCCACACCTATGGCCTGTATCCCAGTTTTTGTATGCATAAATAAATTCAAAAAATTAAAAAAAAATAAACTAAATGATACTCTGGATGCCACCACTGACAAGGCAGTGGGCAGGTGTTCTCTTATAATGTCCCACCTGAATGGAGCTGCCACAAGTTTCACCACCAAGTGCTCTCTGTGTCTTCATCAATGTCTTGTTAGCAGAGGCCTGTTTTCATTAATCTTTTGTCTTGCTTCTTGGGAGCAATGCAAAATTCAACAGGGGTGTGTGGGTGCCCTACCTGGCCCCCAGTCCCTAACCATGAGTTTCACTACCACTCCTTGTGGGGTCCAGTTAGCTTCACCCGCATTGCCTATCACACACATCAGCTGGCCCCACTTGCCTCAGGCCTCCCATAGACTGGTCACCTGTCCCTGGGCATTCCTTTTGTCCCCCAAATCAGTTCCCTTGATAATAAAATAGGCATGAGACTAATTCAGAAGGGGAAGCTTCATCCCTGAGGGGGTCTTAGAGTGGGTTGGAGGTCAGCTTCCACAGTAGGCCAGGGGTTCCTGAATTTTCAGGCCTGGTCATAGGAGGTTGGAGAAGGGAAAAGTTACCCAGTAGGACTGCCTGGAGGAGGAGGAGCCAGATCACTGGTCCCTGAGTGCCTGCAATGACCCACCCATTCACCTCAGCCTGCCCAAATATGAAGAGGGTTACCTAGTGGGCCTGAGCTCTGGGAAGTCCCCAGGCTGAGCTTCAGGCACCAGAGCAAGGTGGGAGCAGCTCTCACTTGACCAGATCATGTGGTTCTTCTCGCTCTGTAACTTACTTGCTTATCTTTTCCTGGCAGTTTTCTGGTAAAAAGATAAGCTTTTCAGCTGATGCAGAGCTGGCGGTAAAAGGATGACAAGAGAGTGATGGCTGAAGGGAAGAATTGGTAGGTTTAGAGCTGGAGGTGGGTGAAAGTGGGAAAGCACCTCTAGAAGTGACTCCACCTGTAATGTCAGGAAATTCCTGCTGTGTGCCCCATGAGGAACAGGCCATATCTCCTCTCATCCCTGCCCTACTTGGGACCACAGCAGAGGAAGACCCTACTGGCAAGCTCCTGGGTCAAAGGAATCCATTCATGAGAGCATCTAATCACAGCTGCTATGATCAGAGAAAGCAGGAGAAAGGCTCCGATACCTGCCCACAAGCACCTAGGACACTGCACCTGTGGCAGCAGCCTGGGCCCACAGATGAGGAAATTGAGGTCCAGGAGGGTCCTCATGGTACACAGGGAGTAAAGAACGGGGAAGGATGACAACCAGAAATGTGGTGGGTCATTTTCTCCACCTTAGCTAGGCCTAGTCTTGGGGAAGCCTTCTGAAAGCCTAGGGGGTCAGGGCATCTGGGGTAGGTAGCAGCTTGACACCCAGCAGGCCATCTGCACTTCTATGCCCCCTTGTTCTTGAGGAGTTTCAATAACTAAAGTCGGGCAGATCCTGCAACAGAAGAAGGACATAAGGTGAAAACTAAAGAAGCAGGAATAAAGTATGGGCTTCAGTTGATCATAACATCTCAATAGTGGATCATCAATTATATCATTCTAATGTAAAATGTCAACAGGGGAAACTGGATGTGTGGTATATGGGGATTCTCTGAATGATCCTCTCAATTTTTCTGTAAATATAAAACTGTTCTAAAATAAACAGTATATTTTTAAAAAGTTTTTTTTTTTCTTTAGCAAAAATCTGGGTAATATAGAACCAAGCAGTAGGCTGCCCTCTTTCCAGTGGTGACCTGGACCATTGCTCAGTCACCCATTTTTTACTCAGTCAGGCTCAGTCCGGTAGACTTCCTCGGCCCTCTTCTCTTGGACATGTGTCCCTGCCCAGAACATCCTCTGAAAGTCTCTTACTGGGGACGGGAGCCCTCCTGGGTTTTACCCTCCATCCCCCACTATCAGATCACAGGCTTGCTCTTACTCTGCAGTAAGTGGTGGTGGGATCACAGGCTTGTTCTTACTCTGCAGAGTCTCAGCATCTAGGACCCAGCCAAGTCCCCTTCCCCATGGATGGGGTGACCATTGTACAGAGGACAGATGGAGGGATGAACCCATCCTGCTCCCAGGATGTGGGGACAGTGGGCTCAGAGCAGGAGACCTCACACCCCATCCCAGCCCCTTGAGCTTTCTATCATTTCTTCTGCCGAAAGCAGCATGTGGAAGGGGGCACCCAAGTGTAAGGGTCAAATAGAATGGTTTCTGCCCCTACACCAGAGCCCTAGTCCTCCCTGGCTGAGTGGCTCCCTTGATGTGGCCGGGGCACCCTTGATAGAACTGAACCAGTTAATCCTGGGGCACATGGGAGCGAGCACAGGGACAGTGGTGCTTAATCAGCTGTGTCTACCCAGGTTGGAGGTCAAGTGGGGATCCTCCTGGTGCAGGGGGTGCCTCTACTATATTGGGAAGCCCATATTAGCTCTGGCAACATCTTTGATCTCATCTCTGGGTAGGGAGTGGGGAGAGAGGGTCCAATTCTTTTAATTATCTCCTGTGTGCCTACCCACCAACCAGAGGATTACACAGTCAGTCTCAGCTTCCTCCCTTCCAGACACATCCTGGGACCCAGGCAGGCCCTCTGGGACACATAACCTGTCTTAGTCAGTTCAGGCTGGTACAACACTAGTGGGTAGTGCCTACAGGCAGCAGTGGTCCCTTCTCTGCTAGGATTGTGCCCAGTTATGTCATCTGACACCTCAAACTTGTAATTTACAGTTTCTTGGGTGTGTGGCACTTCCAGTCATGGGGGCCCCTTAATTGAAAAGGGGAGAGCCCCAGCATCCTTCCAGGAGGGATACCCTGGGAGGATAACATAAAACATCAGGGTTACCTAGATGCTGTGCTGGGCAACACCTGGCGAAGCTGCCCTGTCACCTTTCCTGTCCACATCATGGTCTTTGTGTCCACACCCCTTGTCTGCTTCTGGGGCTAGTACCACAGTGTCATCTGTGTGGCCTGTAAGGGTGAGGGTTCCCAGGGCCAAGCTATTTGGGAGAATGGGGATCCAGGCTAGAGAAGTGAGTATAAAACCAAGGCCTTGAGGAGCCAGCCTGAGCACAGCCAGCTCTGCTGTGTCTCCTTGGCGCCTTCCTCCATCTGTAAACTCCTAGGGAAACCCTGATTGTCCAGCCTGCGGGGAATAGGGCGGGCCTGTGAGTGGTCTGCCCTCACCGGATTTCCTAGATTGGAGTAGGGAGAACAGGGCTTCCGATAAAGAGATGGGATTTTCTGTTCCTAGGCCCAGCACAAAGCCCAGTCCCCCGGTGTCCGTGGACTCAGGTTAAAAGTTGGATAGTCTCTTCTGTTATGCAGGGGAGGAAACTGAGGTCCATTGTGAGGGTGATGGATCCCAGATGGCCATGCCAGGGTAGCGGGTGAAGATTGCTACAACCAAAAAAATCCTGCTGTAGATTTTTCTAGTTGCATGAGTCTGAGGAGATGATTAGAGGGTGGATTATAGGGAGATAAAAAGCGTGAGCAGTGCATAGGAGATAGAGAAAGGGAGAGAGCCTCAAAGACCCTGCTATGCTCTCAACGGGGTAACTCAGAGGCAGATTCCACACAGGAAGCATGAGATTAGGAAGAGATAAACTGGGTACTGGATGCGGAGCCCCTTGCAGCCCATCCTGCCTGTTCACCCTGGGCTGTTCTGCACCGGAGGCAAGGTGGAATGGGATGCATCCCCCAGACTCATGTCCCTTCGGGCACTGAAGCAGAAAACAATTCACTCTATAGATGGCAAATTGAGTTGGCTGGTATGGAGGGCATGCCCAGAATCACACGGCCACTGAGTATGTGCCAATCACCATGCTGAGTTGCAGGAAGACCAAGGAAACAAGGTCTCCTCAGGGATTGATATGTCTCAGTTTCCCTTTTTATAACCAACTTTGAATAAGCACATCTATTCCAGGGTGGAGGCAAAGTTAACCACCTGCCCCAGAGTGAGAGGCAGTGGGTGGGCTAGCCTTGGCAGAGCCAGGCATTCAGATGGGTGGAGTGAGTAGAGGGCACCTGCCAGGGCTCAGGCAACCATCCCAACTACCCCCAACCCAGCCCATCAGGAGAGGAGGGAAGCCTTGAAGTACAAGGCCTTTGAATCGGCATCTCCATGGCAACGTGTAGGCACAAAGGGCTAGGCAAGCAGGTGGCTGTGCAGGCTGGAAGGAGGAAGAGAATCTTTTATTTATGAGGAAGGAGATGTCAGGGAACCAGCCTGCACTCAACCCCATGGCCAACCTGTGGTCTTTGGGCTGTGCCCTCCACCCAGTGCTTGGGCTCCTAAACCAGCACCTGCTGGCTCACCACTTAGCCACTAGCCTGTGTGGGAAGACAGAGTGTGAGCAAGTGGAGGGTAGAGCTGGGGCCAGCATGCACCTATCCTGAGAAGGGACTGCCAAACAGGAGCATCAGAACCCCTCCCTCCACTATCCTCCAGTCTCTCTAGAGCATGTGCCAGGACAGGTGCATGCCAGGTGCTAGGGCAGGTGTAGGCAGTGCAGCAATACAACCCAATTGGATGCTGCAGAAATAGAACTGAGGTGGTAGCCCCTTTAACAGGCACTGAGGAAGCATCTCAGTTCTGTCTCAGTTCCAGGAGGAACCAAAATAGTTGAAAGAACCAGCAATGTAAAGGCCCTGATGCAGGACAGGATTGCCAATATGGGGAACTAGAAGGGGAGGACCTGCCTACTATAGTCTCTCTATCCCTCCTACACCCTGCTTACCTGGCCTCAGGCTCCAAACTCCAAGCTCCAGGATCCACCAGGTATAGTGCATCAGGAAGGGCATCACCTACTCTTGGCTTCCAGCTGCCAATCCTTTTTCTCCCATCAGCTTGCACCCTGTACCCTGAGCCCTTAAAATACAGGAAATTGCACTCAGGGTGCCATAAGGGGGGAATTCTGACCCTAAAGACCCGGGGGAATGAAGCAGAAACCACCATCATGGAGCAGAGATTTTATTTCATGTATAAATTATTTAAACCAGATTGAAAGGGGAATGTTATAGCTATGTGATGACTTCTCTAGGACCTACCATGAAATAGTCCCTGACCTCTCTGGCCAGAACATCCCATCCCTTTACTTGTAAATGTCTAGATGGGGGCAATATTTCATGAGATTCGGGGAAAGGCACTGGCAATTCAACATCAGTGGATACAATGAGCACAGTGTGTTCTCTGGTTTGAGATGAGGGAATAATGTTGGAAGCCATCCACCCTTGGGGTCTCTGATTTCAGTGAGGAGGCAAATCACCAGACTGAGAAGGGCTTGCAGGAAATGCCAAGACCCCACCACCTGAGATTTGGGTGTGGCATGCCTCGGGAAGCTGTAAGCATTTTGGGGAGCCTGGTGCTCTAGAACCATGTGACCCAGATGAGTCTTCATCCTTTCCCCAACATCTTGCACCTGTCCCTCTGGGCACTTGTTTCAGGCAATTTCAGATTTGAAGCTATTTGTCCCCACAACTTTGAAGACAATATCCCCTCACTCCCACCTCTGCCCCAGTCAGGTTGTCATGCTCTCTGCAGCTGTCAGTTTGGTCTCCTACACATTCTACTGAGGGGTCTGAGCACTGAGGCAGGGGGAAGGAGAACTTTAGGGGACCAGACAGGACTAAGGGAAAAGGGAGAATTTGGCAGATGGAGAGGACATGGGCTGGCTGGTATAAAACCATGCCCAGTGGGAGGAGGATGGCAATGTGGGTTAGTAGGGCCTCAGAGTTCTTTCTCCCCATAGGTTCCATGTATGGAAGGGCCCTTGGCCCCACCTTTTAAAAAAATGGGGCCCTCTGGCCCAGGAAGTTGGAGTGATAGTCCCCAGATCACCCTTCTCACCATCCCAGATCACGTTGTCAGCGTCAACAAATGACACAGTCCTGCAGCCACTGCCCTCTGCTGTGCAGCTCCAGCTTAGACACGGCCCAACTCCTCTTCATACTCAGAAAAAGGGCTGTGGCTGCCATGTGCTCTGCCAGTTTCTTTGACCCTTCTCCCACCGCCATGGCCTTTGTCTTTCTGGACATGTCTCATCCTCTCATTTCATCTCACATCAACTCCATGGTAGAGGTCAGAAAAACAAGCAGTAAAGCTGTTTGAGGTCAAACAGCTAGTCTAGGCCAATTAAACTGCAGAGGCTTCAAGGGACCATCCATGAGACTGGGATCCTGCCAACCTCAGATATGATCTGGGCCACATTGATCCCACTCCATGGCCTGCTTCATACCACAATCTGGAATATGTGACCAGCTTCCCCTTGGAATGATCTTGGGGCCCCACATACCTCATCTCCCTAAGCTGATGCTGTGCTGCTGGCATGGGTACTCTCCACCCTCCCTGGGAGGCTCTTTGCCTTGGACATCCTCAATGGCTGGGACACATGGCTCTTGCCCTGTACCTTGATGGGAAGAAGCACGAGACTGTGCCAACTGGAGACATCAATGTCCCTTTGGTGCCAAATTAGTGAGTGCCACAGAGAAGTACACAGTGGGGACTTCCCTGGGCATAGCGGAGACAAGGAGGTCCAAGATCCCCAGGGGCAGGACAGGGTGGGTAAAATGGAATCTGTCCAAATCAGCTTTAATTAATTAGTCTGACAAAGAAAAACTTAATCAAACCAAGGGGGGCTTGAGCCAGCACTGTGGCAGAGTGGGATGCAGGCCAGCTAGAGAGAAAGGCAGAGTTCCTTTACCCATCAGAGAGAAGGACCAGGTAGAAGACTGTCCCATATGGGACGGGATACATGCTGCCTTATTTGGTTGTGGCCTATTTGATTTTTGTAAGTGGAAAGTTGCTTTTTCAAAAACTTTCATTACAAAATGCTCCTGTCCTTGAAAACACTGTGCTTTATGGAGAGTGGGTGAAAAGATTCAGATCTGTCTCCAGGTGAATGGGCCTAAGACACACATCCCTGGAACTTGTTCCCCTGGGAAGGCCTTGGAATCAAGACCTGCTTGGCATATATAAGACCCAAGGCCCTCAGGCCTCTCAGGGAGGTTGTGGGTTCATTTGCAAGCTAGGCTGTCATTTACTCAGCACCCATACACTACCTTGGGTGTTGTCAGTTCCCACGCTCCAAGGAGGGATGCAACCTTTGGGATTTGTGCAGGTTCCTAAAGGGAGCTCGTAGATTTTACCTGCTTCTCAGAGCATGGGAGATCCAGCCAAAGCCACAACCCCAGCACAACATGCAAGTCACATCAAACCTGATGCCCCCTACCTGGTGCTCTGCATGTCAACAGGGGGCTCTTGGCATAGGATCAGGAGCCTGGACAAAGGGCTGCAAGTCCCTGAGGATAAGAACATGAAACTGGATGGGGCAGTGGGGGGGGGGGGCACTGAAGACCCTGTATATGCCCTCCAATGAGTATCCCCATTGGCCAGCTCTGGGCTCTAGGGGCCTGCCAGGCATCTCTGGGGCTTGCTGTGGTCAACCTGCATGTTCCATGGCCTGTGTGCCCAGCCTGCTCCTTGCTGCTTCCTCCAGAGGCAGAGGTATCTCTAGGAGTTGCAGGGAACCAATTTATCCCCAAGGTAAGCTGGCTGCAGATAACTGGGTGCCTTTAATGAAGGCTTTTGGATCCAGGGTACATTGTCCACTCTAGGATTCTGGGACTTGGTGACATGGAGTGCCCCTGCGACAGATTAGGAGCCCCTGTGCACCACCGTAGGCTAGGGTAGGGGGCCAAATAGATGCCTCAGGACCCAGGAAGTGAAATCAGCAATCCCTTCCCCCCACCCCTAGCCCTCTTCTACCTTCCAGAAGCTTCTTGCCTTTCTTGTTTCAAAAATCACTGTAGTCGTTAAGCCAGAGCTCACATGGCAAGGAAGTTTCCCTTCTCAGGAGAGGGGATATTCGCCTTCTGTCCTGCTGGCTATACCCTCTCCCAGGCCTCTACACTTCTAATTGGCAAGGGAAAGGAGAAAGAAATCACCAAATTTCCTATTAAAACAGATGGAACCCTCCTGACATGACCCTGAGTTGTCATAACAACCCTCAGGCCCCAGATGAGAGAGGGGACCAGTGTTGCAACTTGTCCCAGCCCTGTGCTTCCCTGCCTGCTGCTGTCTGGGCTGCCACTGACCAATAAGTGTGGATAAGGGGGGCAGGACACAGGGGAACCTCTGACGGAATCCCAGACCTTCAGTTGAGGCTTTGGTATCCCCGGAACTCTTCTTCCTGGGTGACTTAGCTCCAGAAAATCATCTACAAACTGGGTGGGGCAGTCAAGAGGCATCCTGAATTCACACAAAGGGGATGTGTGGCAGGAGGTCTTTCAGCTGCTGCTTGATCAGGACTCAGTTCTGCTCCTGAGGTTCCCTTGGCTGTGTTTCCCTGTGGACCACCTTGCCTTACAGGCAGTGCTCAGTCCATGCCTCAAACCTCAGCTCTCTAGCAGCCAAGCCACCCTGGCTGGGCTCTCCTCTGCCATGTGGCTCACAGCCACCTGGTTGACCCAGGCTCTGCCTGTTCTGGGCCAATGTGGCAGGGACAAGTCTGTGCTGATGAGTTGAGCCAGCCAGGACCAGGCCTCCCAATAAGGGAGAGCCAGGCCCAACCAGGATATAGCCCACAGGTGGAGTGCAACTTGTGATTGGGGAAGGGGCTAAGAAGAGTGGGCACCTGGGGATGACTCCAAGTATAACAAGAGGTATTGGATGTTTTTCAGGATGCTCCTAACTGACTCTGGTAACCAAGTGAGAAGAAAGTAGAGGTGAGTGAAGGAGAATTGGGGGTGTCCTTAGGGTCAGTGGTTTTGTGGAAGGGCTAGTTTAAGACAGGTCAGGTGGGGGAGGCTGACAGTAGGAACCGGCCACAGGGTAGGGGTCAGGGGCCTTGGGAGTAGCTAAGCTAAAAGAAAACCATGCGCCTCACTATTTATAGGGTAAGTTCCAATTTTAGCCAAGACACTGGATGCCTTAACCAGATAAAGAAGGTGATAGTGAAGGCAAGGCCCTAATACTGAGGCCATGGCCAACAGTGGGAGGAGGACTGGGGGAACTGAGGGCAAATCCAGAACACTATTTGAGGGTTGAGGAAGCTGGCAAAGCTGAGCCTGGGCTGGTGGGAAAGAGCTCTGGAAAGCAGGGATGCAAAGGGATGGGCCATCAGCTCTCCAACCCTCGTGATGCTGGACTTGAGGAAGCCTCCTGTGGGCCTAGCGTGTCACCACTACTGCTGAGGCTTCAACCAGATGTCAGTTCCTAAGGATGCTTAAACCCTGTTCTGGAGGTTCTCACTCTATAAATTTATTCCCCACCTATGGAGGGGATCTCACTTAGAGGGCCCACACCCTGGGGGTCCACAAATGCCATCGGTGACCACACCACCCACCTGCTCAGCAGTTTTCTCCTTTGCCTAGAAGGTGTTTTCTTCCTTCAGGATGTATGGTACAGCAGTGGCAGAAATGTGCTTTATGGCCCACAGGATGTATTCATCATTAGTGCCACTTGGAACATTCTGGAGCCTCATCCCATCTTGTGGGGAACAGGGATACATGAGAGGACCCTATGGTGAACTTCAAGCTGAACCAGGAAAGTGTCAAGAGAAGAGCGACCCATGTGTGTCATGGACCTAGGGGCCAGGTTGGCGGGATGGGGTTTATGGTTCTGAGAGCCCTGCCCTGGGGACAGAGCCTGAAGGGGAGGTGACCCTTAGGCCAGCAGGGGACCTGGAGTGGGGCAATGGGAGGGGTGAAACCTGACCTCCCCTTGCATCAGCTTGTCCTGGAGTTAGGATCAGGCCCCAAGGGGCAGGGAGCAAGCCAGGGGTGCTGCATGGCCCTCTGCTGCTCTCTGCTGGCAGAAGTTATGTCACTGCCTGTCCTGGAGGCTCTCACCCTGTAAAGTTGCTCTGCGGGCCCAGTCTCCTGCTCTTGTGGGCTAGGAGCAGGCATGAGGTTGAATTCCTGATGTCTGAGGGGGCTGGGGACCTTGCCAACCTCCACCCAGCCTCACTCCTGCCAGGAGCTCCAGGTGGGCTCTCTCTGGGTGCCGGCAGGGGCAAATCTAGCATGTGTCCCCTGAGTAGAGCAGGAGAACCCTCTGTATGGCCACATTCTGGGGGATCAGGAAGCCCCACCCCAATAACCCTGCACTGTGGCTTCCTTTTTGGACCATGGAGCCTTTAAGGAGAGGCCACAGACAGGGGTTCCACTTCTCTTCCCCTCAATCGTACCCTGAACTTGGATCTGGCTCCCACCTCCCACCCCATTCTCTGTCCCCATGGACTCACTACCCAAATCCCTCTGAAAAGAACAGTATGTGCCCCAGAGCTCTGTACAGAGAAGAATGAATTCCATCAACCTCGATGGTGCTTGATAGGCAGTTAAAATCCACAGCCACAGTCACAGGACTCAGGTGTGTGCTTCTGGTGAGATCCATGCACAGGACACAGCCAGGCCCTGTTGGAGTGCAGTACCCATCACAGTTCAACCCACATGTGGCTTCTGAGCTTAGAAAGGATGTGACAGAACTGGGCCTGGGGTGGGTTCGGCAGTAGGGACCAGGAGAGGTGGGGATCAGAAAGGAGGGTCTGATCATACTTGCTGCTGCTCCAAGTTCCTTCTTGCTGTGTAAAATGGGTTGTTGAGACCGTGGGTTAATCTAGTTTTGATGCTGACTTTGGTGCCTAGCCCTGGCAAACACTCAGTCATTACCTGACACAGGTAATGACTGCTGCGCATCCTTGTGGGGTATGGTGGCTCTCAAGGGATGGGGTCTTCCCCCTGCTGTATGTTGTCAGTCTGAAGCGATCTGGTTGCCTCTGGACAAGGGGGCCTATTGGGTGCTGAGCTGAGGCAGGGTCCTCACCTGTACACACTGGGGGCCACGAGGAACACAGGGTGGCAAACTCTGTGACTCAGACAGACCTGACTGCTGAGAAGCCCACTGTTCCCAGGCACTCCCTCTCCTCTCCAGGCTTTCTGAGGCTCCTGTCCCTTCAGGACATCACTCAGAACCTGCGATGCTCTTTAAAGGATGGCATATTGGGTGTTCCCCGTTGCTGCCGTGCCTGCATTCCAGTTGTGTACAAGTCCTTGCAGCAGACCTCACTCACAGGCACAGGTGGGACAAGCACTGAGGGCGCTGAAGGCTTTCACATTCACCAAGCAGCCGTGAGTCCTCATGGGACTTGGGTATCCTGAGAACTCAACCCAAAGTAGCTCCGACACTGCAGCTCATCCTGGGCAGCCATCCAGGTGCCTGTGAGGACACAGACAATGGGAAGGAGCTCCAGGAACCCAGGAGTGGGAGCTGTCATGAGTGGGAAGTCCTAGAAAGAAGGAACACAGCTGGTGACAGGAGACAAGGGCTAGTACAGATATGTGGTGGATAATTTGGTGTGTATTGGGTGTACATACTGGTACACGCATGGGGCAGGGCAAGTACGTGGCATGTGCATGTGTGGATGTACATGGATCTGTGCATAAATACTATGATTCATGCTTACATGTGTGTTATAGTAGCAAAGAAAAGAGACTGGAGAGAGATACAGCCTAATATCATTTCTGCCTACTGCTGCGGGTGCTGGCTCTGTTTCCCATCCTATTTATTAGGCTGTTTACAAAAAGCTTGAACTAGCTTTAGATTCTGAAAGGAAAAAAGCTTTTCTTAAACATCAGGGGGTTCTCAAGTCTCTCAAAGCCCTCTAAGAGGCTGAGGGTGAGTCCTGAGTGGTCTAGAGCCTGGCTCTGGAAACTGGAGGGGGTGGGCTTCTGTGTTAAGGGGGAAGGCATCAGTGTGGGGACCCTGCAAAATCTGTTTTAAAATTGTGTGTTTAGTGTTAGATTTCTCTGCCAGCCTCCCCAAAGCATCTGGGCTGTCTGTCCCCCCTTTCCTATGGTCCCCCACCTGGCTGATGTCCATATGGCCTGGACTTGTCTATTGTACCCCCACAGCTGCCCTTTGCCATTTGGCCCCAACCCCAGCCCCTCCAGACTTATCCCTGTCCCCAGGGAACTCGCTGAGGCTTGCCTGGAATGTTTCCTCCCTCCCCAGCCTCAGTCCCCAGAGAGGGCACAGGACCCTCCCAATTCCGTGTCCTCCTGCTTCTCCTTTAGCCCCATTAGCTGTCAGCCTCTGGGTGGCAAGGAACACAGATCTCTTCTCCCTTGTCCCCTACCCACCTATTGCCCCACCCCATGTGTGTTTAAACCTTTACTGGAGGAGGGGAAGACAGTCATGCTGTGCTTTTGAAATAGCTCTAGCATATGACTTCCTCAATCCCCTTGTGGAAATATCTGTGGACACCTAGGAGGCCAGGAGGCAGGGGGTCAGGTCGTTTGTACCTTGGTGCACGAAACTTCCAAGAGGACGTCAGCTGTGTATTCTACTGGGGTTGGGGAGGCCAAGGCCAAGGTCAGCATCACGCAGCACCTGCAGGTACAGTGAGTTCTAGCATCAAAGCCTGGCCGCAGCCAGGAAGGAAAATCAATGTTGGGCTGAGGGATTAACTGAACATGCACAGGTTGGTGTTGGGGACAGGGACCAGGTGTCAGCCTACCTGCGCTTCTGGGTTCTTCCATCATTGGAATCTTCAGAAGGGATGGCCAGGCAAGAAGTGCCTAGGGTGCTTGGTGCCAGGGCTCTGGACAGCCCCTGTGGAGGTGGCCAGCTACTGGCCCCTCTGCCTGAAACAGAACTGCTGACTGTGCACAGACTCTGATCCAGAGAGGAGCTGAAGGCCTTGAACAGCAATCAAAGATGCTCCTGGCCAGCGTCAGCCAGGCTGGACCAGATAATCTCCAATAAGTCCTGGGCTGATAGACAGCACGCCCTGCCTGGGGGAATCCTTGTCTTCTGCTGGTGCTGATGATTCCACATTAGGGTAATAATAATGCCTGGAGTTAATACTTTTGTAAAAAATGTACATTCTTTATAAAAGAACAATTTTGTACAAAAACATTATCTTAAAAAATGAGTCAACCTGGGCCTCCTCGGTGGCGCAAGGGCTTAAGCACCACACTATGAAGCAAGTCACAGTCTCTGCAGCACGAGTTCAATTCCTGGCCAGCCAGAGAGAAACCCACATGGTGCAGCAGACCTCTCCTGTCTTGCCCGCTGCTTCCCTCAGCAGTGTATTTCAGTCAGTCTGCCTGTTCTGTTCCCCACTCTGTCTCTGGTGAATCCTCTCACCCCCCCCCATCTCTGGCTTGTACCCCAGCTGTTGTATGCATAAATAATTAAATCTTTAAAAAACAAAAACAAAAAACGAGTCAAGGTTGACTCGTTGACCTCCTGCCTTGCTTAGATCCTGCATTCCTGACCCATTCTCCATTTCTTTCCACAGTTTTCCCTGCATCCATGTGTCCATGTGGCTGACCCCCAAGGAAATGCTCGTCTTACCACCATGTGGACACCTCACAGGGTTTGAACCTGTCAGCCCCTATGTTGACATTTAAGGATAGGCCAAGCCTTCCTTGTCAGGACCCTGCCCTACCCATATCATGCCAGGCTTGCTCTGCCCCTGCCGTGAGTGACCCTCTTATAGGCCTGGGGTTGAAATGCCTACCATGAGACCCAGAGAAGCCAGTGTGGGAAACTTGAGGACCTGAAGGCTCTGGGGCAGCAGGAAGGACCTGAGCCTTCAGTGGTGATATGCACCACTCCCTTGGACCCTGTCCCTATCTAAGGAATCCATCTTGGTGACCCTGGTAGCAGGCACTGCTTCCTGAAGTTCTGATGTACCCGCTGGGGGATGAGGCAGGACAGGGATTTCCTGACCTTCCCCCAGGCCCCAGGTGAGGCTTGGTAATTTGGTACCTCTAATTTGAGATCTGGGACTTATAGGAGCTCGAGGGGCCAGGTCCATCCCTGAACTGCCAGAGGAAGTTGAGGGGACATGAGGGCACTTGTGGCAAAGAGCGACTAGTCAGAAACAGAAGATTTGCTCCAGAAACATGATGCTGACTGGGGGAGGGGACATTGGCAGGCTGGGGTTGTGTACAGCTGATAGAATAGGGGTGCCAGCCTCCCCATTTCATGTCAAGTCTCATTATGACCCCTGAGTCCTCAAGCTCTCCCTCACCAACCCAGGGTCCTTTTTGTCTCAGTTCAGCTATCACCTCTGCTGGGAAGCACCTCAGTCCTATACAGGTGCCCAGGAGGTGCACGGATCCAAGGCCCTTGCTGGTGACTGGCTTGGCACACACAGTCAGGCTGGACTCTGGGATCATTGGGATAGGGGACCTGTCCCTCAGGGGACAGTTGGGGAGCTGTGTTGGTCCTACTTGTGCATGACATCTGGTTGGATGAAGCTATTTTCACCTATGTCCTAAACCACCTACTTGGGCCAATCCCTCATGAGTATCCAGACTTCAACTAGAAGTCACTGTTTTGCTTTTTGTCTCTATGGCTGTTATTTAAACATTTATTTATTTATTTTATCACAGACATCACACATGTTTTTAGGATAAAAAGATTGAAAGTATATCTTTGTATGTAAAGTAACAAACTGTTGCTGTCCCAGGAGTCTCTGCTGGGTCTGGGGCACATGCAGAGACCACCAAGCAGTCTGTTGCAGGCATTGCCACATCCCATGTTTCCTGGAGTTGCTGTGTGGGGTGCCCCCACCTTGCTTCCTAGGAAGGTCTCCACTGGGGTTGGTATCACTTCCACTGAGTTGGAATAGAGAGGCAATGGCTGGGCCAGGACATTCTGGGCTGCTGACCCAGTCACCAAGCTCTTGGTCAACTCACAGGATACATATGGCATGTATCTGACATCCTACCCAGATCCATAGGCATTGCGTGTATGTGTTGGGGCGGGGGTGGCTGACCCCAGGGAGGTCTGTAGGGAAGCGCCAGTGTCCCTGGAGGGCCTTGCTCAGTGACTCTGCTCAGGGTCCATTGGCCTTCCAGACAGGGCCCTGGTGGTCATCCACTGCTTCTCCTATCCCTTCAATCAACCACAACACAGGAAGGCTGTGGGGGCCACTGTGTATGTGGGCGGGGTGGCACTGCCATGTTTGTGTACCCAGGACTAATGCCAGCAGGGTATCCTCTTCCACGAGGGACCCTTGCCCCTACCTGTAACCTGTTCCCATTGCAGCTCTGCCTCCCTCTGTGGTTCAGTCCCCCTGCAGGAACCGGCCTCCTTAGCTTCCCTGCACTTCCCAGGTGCTCCTTGCATGGCTCTGGTGCTTTGCTGGGTGCTAGTGATACCAGGCAATAAAGGGAACTAAAATTGGCCAAGGACACTGTCCAAATAGTTTCCCAGTCACTGTCTGAGTTCTCCATCCACGCTCACAGTTGCAAGGCCACTGAGGTTCAAGGAATAAGAATGGGATTTATTTAACAAAAAAGGGAAAGCAAAGAGTCGCCAAGGCCACAAATGGCTGTTTACCTCACCTGAAGCAGTCCAGTGTTTAAAGTCCTAAACATGAAGACTCCCATGATGGCATCTTCCTGCCACTGAGGGCCTGGAGAACGTGGCAGCCTGACAATGGACAGATCCAACTCATGAACACAGCAGAAGACACAACAGGAAATATTCATGGAGCTGCTGAGGTGCCCCTGCACAGCACCAGACACGCGACACTCAAAACAGCAGCTGCAGCAGCCGAATGACCTGACAAACGGGCACACTCACGCAGCTCAGTGAGGTGCCCGGCTCTGGGTCTTCACTTTCCCTGCCAGGCTGTAATGGCAACCAAACCAGGAACAGTTTCAGTCTCTCGGCTACCTGCAAAGCCTCCGAACATTTATTCTGTGAGGTTGGCTGCTGGAAGCCTCTCCAAGTCCTCCAGAGACCTGCTACAGCCTTCTGGAAGATCTGCATGGTGGAGGTAGGAATGGCTGACCCTCAAATTGCTGAAGACCCCCAAATGCTGAAATTCTGAAAACACTGAAACTAGGGGGCTGCTTTTGCAGTCCTTTATATTTCCTATCAGATATTTTGCCTGGGGCTATTCATCCTTACCTGCTCCTCCCTCCTGGGGCCATCACCTATAACAGCCTTTGGCTTCAGCTCTGGCTATACTAGGACTTGTGCCAGGGCAACTTTGGTGCCCACTGAATCTAGGTGATGATTCTGATGGCAGGTATTATCATTCTTACTTCTTCACGGAAGTCCCAAACTCTTTGACTGAAAGCCTGTACTTCCCTCTGCCGTCCTAGACACAGGTTTGTACTCTGGACATCATGAGACTGGGATCCATTGCTCTTATTATTGGGTTATTCTGCTCTTTATGCAGCAGTTGTCTGCTTAGTCCTGTGAGAGGTGTCGGGAGCCCTGGACCTGCTGCCTTCTTCACATGCAGAATTTCAGCCTCAGCTCCATTGTCATTCCTGCCCTTCCATTGCCCAGGCTGAGGCTCACCTCTGGCTTGGCCCCTTTCAAGGCCTGTGCCCAGGTTGTTCTCCCACATTCCTGCCTCCCTGACCTACAGCCCCATCCACACTGCTGGTCATGGCTTGTCTGGTGCCAGACACCTGCATCCTCAGGGGGTGGCAGGCTCTGTAGCACCACTTGACAGTTGAAAAAGGTAGAAGTTTCTGGGGACAGCTACCCTGGCTTCAAACTCTACTGTGGGCCCATGAGCAAATTGCTCATCCTATCTGAGCCTCAGTTTCCCCTGCACAAAATGGGGCAGTAATGGTAGCTCAGGTAGGGGAAGGTTGGATTGCCATACTTGTCAGTATGTAGAGTACACAATGATTTTACCAGGAAAGAACCTGAGGGAAGGGAGGAGTTAAACACACCCCTCCACTGTCAGTGACCACATAAAGCAGCCTGAGTATCAGGCAGGACTGCATTTACATAAACATGGCACTGTGCTCTGGGATATAGCAGCCAATCTGAGTGTCACAACACAGGTGTATTATACTGGATCTGAAAATAGTGAATAAAATTATATAACTAAAGAGTGCTCTAGCAGAAGCTGTGGATGCTAGCATGGAGCAAATAATGGGGTAACCTGCTGGTGATGTATGGTGAAAGTGGGGTTCATGCCCCTGTTAGGTGCAGGCCAATAATGGAAGAAAAGCCCCAAATTCAAAAAACGTGACTAGCTTTTCTGTGTGAGGAGAAAATATATCAGTAAAAATAGGCACAGGGAAAGTGGCAAAATGTAATAAATCGGAATGAATTTTGATCCAGGAAGCCACAATTTAGGTAAAATAGTAACTTTGACAGAGTTCCAATGTTATGCTCATGGATGAAGTAAAAACAAGTATTTCATGAGATATATCCATAGTTATGAGTATTTCATGAGATATATCCATACTATATCCATAGTTATGGATATGGGACATGGGAGTAATTCTGAGGGAGAGCTGTCTGGGAAGAGTGGTGTCATGTGACTGTAGCAAAAGGGGATTTAGTAAGAGTCCACTAAGATCTGTCCCCTGGCCCTGCTGACTGGCCTGATGTGGAGGGGCCATGACTATACACCCTAGTCTACTGAGATCAGGCCATCTCAGATGAGGCATCTTGCCCTCCCCAACCCTCTGTACATCCCCACCCAGCAGATGGTCCTTAGCGGGGAAGACCCACTCTCCCTCCCTCACCCCTCCACCCCATGCACAAACTTCCACTTGGATCTTTGGTCCTAGGGCCCATCCTTCCAAATGTGCCAGCAGCTGTCTGTGAAGCTTGGTTGTTTTATTCATGTTCATTTGGCAAGTGCTGTAACTGAGACTTGCTGTTTGTAACATAATAGGTGCATTTAGACACAGTTCACATACCATACAACTCAAGTATGTGAATACACTGTAAAACTTTCTGGGACACCCCCTTCCCGATCTAGCAAGCAAGAGAGCAAAAGACATCCACTCTGTAGACTTACTCAGGAATCTGCTGCCTGAGGGTAAAATAGACTTTTAACCAAGAAGCCATATTTTGGCTTGCTCCACTGTGCATCCTTTAGAAATCAGGGAAATGATTAACTGCAGCATTTGCTTTTCTCTGTGTATAAATAACATCAATATATCTTTACATTTTTAATGTCAATAACTCAACTGTTTATACCTACAAAAATTATATTCAAACTTGTGTTTGTTGAAACATTGCACATGGAGAAAGTGAACATTTCATAGAAAAAACATTTCTCACAGAGAAAGTGGCAAAATGGAATAAATCAGAATGCAGTCCGATCAGGTCAGCTTCCCGGATTAGAATCATTTGGATTCTTTAATAAACTCACTTAATTTTGCTTGTCTCAATTTATTTGGGCCAACAGGTTGAATTGTTCCTAATATAATAAAAATGTTGAGCAAACATCACCACTCTATTTTCAGGCGTTTGCATACCCAAACTCCATACCTATTAGCAATCACTCCCCCATCTTCATGAGACAGCCTAGGTAAAAGAAATTGCGAGCTGGGGCCTCGCTGGTGGTACAGAGGGATAAGATGCAGCACTACGAATCTATCAGCAGCCACTGAAGAATGAGTTCGATCCCCGGCCAGGGAGCTACCCACATGGCACAGCAGACCTCTCCTGTCTTGCCTGCTGCTCCCCTCAGCAGTGTATTTCAGTCAGTCTGCTTGTTCTGTTCCCCACTTCATCTCTGGTGAATCCTCTCACCCCCACACCTCTGGCCTGTACCCCAGTTCTTGTATGCATAAATAAATAAAACTTAAAAAAAAAAAAAGAAACTGCAAGCCGGTAGGATGAGTTGCCTCAGGTCTGTTAGAACAGGTGAACTAAATCATGAGTAACCAGATGACGGATGCGGGGCAAGATGGCTGGTATGCCTCAGCCCACCATAAGCAGTTGTTCCTCCCCACTCCCAGCAAGGCCAGCTCCTTGTTTTGGCCATGGCTCTCCAGGACACACAGGCCCATGACCCTGTTCTGACCTGAGTGCAGGTTGGTTTGGCCGTTCCTGCCTTTTATATCTGGCATTAGTATTCTAAATGGACCAATCAGGTGTGAGCTAAATGGACCAATTAGATTCAAGTTCAGTTCATTAGTTGGTTACTCAGATAAAAAATGGAAAATGAGCTGATTGGTAGTAAATGATCCAGTCAGATGCTTATGATTGAAAACAGTCTGATCAGGTCTGTTTGAAGGGTAGGAGACCCTGAAAAAATATAAGGCACAGCAAGAGCCAACTTGATTCATTCTGCTCCCTGTCTTCAAAGACCTTTGAAGAAGAATTCTGCTCCTGGCCTCCAAAGAAGGATTCAACAGATGGCTTTTTTTTTTTTTTTTTTGTGGGACCCTCACCAGTGGCCGGGGATCGAACTGGCGCTGCAGAGGTTGTGGGCAGCCTCGGAACCCAGCGCTCAACCACTGCGCCACCAGGGGAGGCCCTCAGCAGATGGCTTTAATGGGATTCACCAGCCCTCTATAGACTTCCATAGACCTGCAGACCTCCGTAAACCTGCACAGAGGTTCAGCTAATTTGCCTCTGACATCACCAGCAAGGAGCACCATCAGGCTCAGCCCAGAGTCTCAGAGAGGTGAACACAGCCTCTGGTTCTCTGGCACCACCTCCTGGTGCAGTTGAGTCCATGGCTATCTGGTTGTGCATTTGGCCCAGCCTTCAGGCTGCTGTTGTGGGCTGCTGCAGTCACCTCATCTTCCACAAATGGCCTTTGTTTGGGATTTCTGGACACTGTGAACACTATCTGGGGTAAGACAGCCTGCCACTTGTGGCTTTAAAAACTCTTTCCTTTCCCCTAATCTCCTGCTTATTAAATAAACCCTGTTGCTATTGGAACCCTAAGCCTTAGTGGTCTTGCAATTGTGTGCGTGGATGAGAACCCACTGACAGTGATTTGTCCTTGAACCTTGTGCTCTGTCCTTGGACCCTGTTTTAAGTATTCTTTTAGCACTATTTCACATGGACTGGTGAGCCTATCCAGATAGTTTGACCCACTATGAGACACCATGCTACACAAAGCAATAGATCTTGACTAATGTTTATATCACAATTTCTTAGAGAGAATGGGTGGAGAGCCCACATGCCCAGTTGGTATATAACTCATTTGTACATTCTAATGTGTAGCCCAGTCCAAAACAAGCTATGATGCTGCTCCTCTCCTCCTTACCTCGTGGATTGACCCTTTAAATATCTCTTCCTAACTCCTGGGAAGCCTGGGGAGCCAGGCTATATTTTCCTTTCTTATACTGGCTCCCTCATCCATGAGTCTCTAAAAAAGCCTTGCCCAGTTCAAGTACAACTAGCACTCTCTGGTGGATTCTTTTCCTAGAGGCCAAAGGACCCACTCTATGGGGTCAAGGCCCTGTAACAAAACTACTAATCTACTTTCTGTCTTTATAGATTTGCCTATTCAGCACACCTCATATCAATAGAATCCTATAACTAGTTCATTTCAAGGTGACTGAGTGTAAATGAGGGCAGAGAACATGATACCTCCCCCTTTTATGGAGATGCCTCTGTTACACTTATTTATGGTCAAATAATATTCCACTATGTGAGTACACCACAATTTGCTTCTCCACTCATCTGTTGATGGGCAACTGGGT